CAGACGACGGATCTGAGAGCAAGCACTCTGGCTGGTCAATTCATTCAACCACTGCTTAAAGAAAGAACTGGGGAGTCAGCTAATAGTATAGAAATTAGATAAGCCATGTTTGTTTAAGTTCGCCAGCTTTGATGTGTACTTGACTCGGATGGTTTAACTTAGTGTCTTTGAAGACATGACTTGGTGGGCGGCAAGCAAAGCGATTCATTCTTGAAGTTCTTTGTCAGGGTTTCTAACGACACACTAGGTACCCTGCACTGGGAGAGATCAATAGCGAAGTTAAAGAATAACCAACCGGTCAGGGAAAGCCCCGCGACAAAGCCAAAACTGGGAGGGGGTTAAGAAAAAACAGCTTTGAGCCAGGGAGCTTCAAAAAGTTCGTGGAAAATGGACTTCAAAGATGAGTTTGTTTTGGTGCCAAGAAACATTGAAGTCCAAGCACAGTTTCTCCAGGGACTCCATGAAGATCTTTCATGTGCGTGGACTTCGAACAAGTTCTGCAAAACAAACTTACCTTCTAATTGCCTGAATTTCCACAAATTTTTTGAAGCACTCTCTGATAAATCGCCAGAGAAAGGACAGACCCAGCGCTATGCATGAGTGTGACTTCATGAAACTTATTAGGCCAACATTCCAAATAAACGAGACAGATTTTTAAAATATAACAAAAACAAGAATTTGGCATTTTACCAAGGCTATCAACATCCTATTATAGAGGCCAATAATGTGGGACGAATGAATCAGAACCTGAAGAAAAAAAAGCAATTTAGATAACTTGGCCACAAAGCATCGTTAATTTAGTATAAACATATGGCTGGAATTCGTCTAGCTACAAAGCTTGATTCTGTTAAACGCGATATAATTGTACTGCAAGTTTATTGGAAGCAAAGTTTAATTATCTCAATAAAAGCAATCATTGAATTGAGACCTAATATCTACTTGTTTGTTTTTACTGAACTGTAAGACTGAACATCAAAAGACAGCCTAAGGTAAATATCAAGCACTCTTGTTGTCTTAATACTGCTCTACCTCCCAAGACGGGTAAGCCCTGACAATTTCAAACCAACAATGGGGAGAAAGGGGGTGCAGAAACGGAGAGGATCACTCTAAAACATAGAGTCCACAGAACCTCCCATGGTCCAGGTAGCCCCACTTCCAAGAGTAAGCACACCCTGTTCTCCCCAGTGAGGACGTCACCAAGCCCTTGGAGCAAACCGTGAACCAGAGGAGGCCTCCTTACTCAAAGGCCTGCACACATGGAAGCCATCAGGGGACAGTGATGGCAGAAGGACTGCAGAGAGCCGGAGAAGGACAGAGTGGGGACCAGAGCAGGGCGGAGGGCCAGGGATCAGTCACAGGGCAGGGAGGCAGGCTGTGGGGCAGAGGACTTTGCAGTTCCAAAGCGTTCCAAGGGACACTCCTTTGCACAGTTGTGTTACTTAAGAAAAAACAGGGGCCGGCGCTATGGCATAGCAGGTAAAGCTGCTGCCTGCGGTGCCAGCATCCCACATGGGTGCCAATTTGAGTCCCGGCTGCTCTACTTCCAATCCAGCTCTCTGCTATGGCCTGGGAAAGCAGTGGAAGAGGGCCTGAGCCCCTGGGCCCCTGCTCCAATGTGGGACATCGGAAAGAAGCTCCTGGTTCCTGGCTTTGGATCGACCCAGCTCTGGCTGTTGCAGCCATCCAGGGGTGAACCAGGGGATGGAAGATTCATTCTCTCTCTCTCTCTCTCTGCCTCTGCCTTTCAAATAAATACAATTAATCTTAAAAAAAAAAAAACGAAAAGAAAAAACCAGAGGTGTGTCAGAGTTGCTTGTGCATATATGGGGATCATTCATTTGCTAAAATCTGATTGCTTATATATTTTATTTGCTGCCTTTTTTAATCTGAGGCCCTCACTCAATGCACCGCCCATAACCCTTAGGTTTCAATTAACACGGGCCATTTTAGGAAGATCAGTATTTCTCTGTGGGCAAAATGCAGTGCTCACTAGTAGACCAAGTGTAGGACCAGCCTAGACTCTGGAAATGGCAACTTTTTTTTCACAGTATTTGTGAGCCTACATTAAGAATTAATGGACACGGGGCAGGTGCTTGGCCTAGAAGTTAAAACACTGCTTGGGATCTCCATATTCCATGTCAGAGTGCCTGGGTTTGAGTCCTGGCTCTGTACCAACTCCAGCTTCCTGCAAATGCACACCCTGGGAGTTAGCAGGTGACGGCTCAACTGGCTGGGTCCTTGCCACCCACGTGGAGGACCCAGACTGAGCGCTGGACTCCTGGCCCAGCTGTAGCTATTATAGGCATTTGGGAAATGAATCAGGAGACAGAAGATCTCTTTTCTGCCTTTCAAATAACTAAGCTAAAAAGTTTTTTGGTTTTTTTTTTTTTTCATGGATACAGAAAACTCCAGTTAGCCTTGGAATAATAACATATAATGAGTCAAGTTCACCTACATGGCACCTGGCAGGGAAGATAAACTCCCTAAGGTATTTACAGATCCTTGCATAGCTGCCAGATATAAGTCAACATTCCATTTCACTAACCAAGCTCACAGGGATAAGGGGTAAGGCTTTCTCTTACACACTGTGAGAAAAGCAGAGAAGCGAACCACTTCTTTGAAAAGGTAACTTGCTAGCATAAAGAGCAAAATCAACACCTAGGACAACTCCATACTAAGGAGGAAAACACCCAAACCAACTCTGTACCAGCAATGACAGACTGGAAGCAGACTGGCACTTGGCTCAGACACGTGAGTGTGGAACGAAATGAGACTTTTTCAGACAACTCCAGCTATTCTAAGTTCAGGCTGGAACACACAGGAGTCCAGCCTACAACTACAGTATGAGATAAATCCTAGCCTGGATTTGTAAGACACAAATAAGCGTCAACTGGAATCCGCACCCCCGGGTCCTGGGCATGCTAACCTCTGTCATACAGAGAGGTGCTAGCAAGAACCACATTTTCACAGAGCTATTTATAAGGGAAAATCCGTAGGAGGTAGACTTAATAGTGGATCGGCTAGAAACCCAGCCTAATCAACAGGAATGAAGCAAGCACTCAACTAAGGAAAACTCATTCCATTCCTCTATTATATAACAGACAATGGGGAAATTATAAAAAGTCTTTATTAAAATCTGTAACAGATAAAAGGACTGTTTTAATGTAATTTACTTATAAGTTAAATTAATGAAAATAAAATTGTCTAACTTCAATTAAACCTGACATATAAGGACGTATGTGATACACCCACTATTAATCTAACAGGCCATTACCAACCTTCTTAGGTACAGCAAAAAATGAAAAAATACGGATGCAACAAAGGCAGATACAACATCCAGCTAGGCCAGCTGCAAGAAAGTGACAGCACGGTCCTGAGGCTGTCGTTCCTACATCTCACTGCGGACATATTTTAAGGATGATCTACTTTTCCTATGTTTTCTGTTGGCTGCCAAAAAATCTACAATGAAAACAGTGCTGGATTAAACAAGAAGCGTGTTGAGAGAGACAGACAGACAGACAGAAAGCCAGGCTTTATGTTGGATTGCTCAAAGCAAAACTGGAATAAGGGATTAACCACTTAACTCTCTGTGACTCTGAACAAAGAACTCAACCAACTGCCCAGTTAACCAGGTCAAGAAAGACCAACTGCTACTCTTAACAGTTCCTGGAGGAAGTACACACGTGCAAGTGCTTAATATGGCGACTGGCCCAGACCCACGGAGCGTCGTGTCCATAAGGCACAGGGACGCCTGCCTGAACACACCAGGCAGATGACGCTGGCACCTGCTCTAGAATGAACCTCCTATTTGGCCAAGTGCAATCAATCCAGTGGAATGGCAGGAGAGGAAGGAAATTCTACTCCCTAACTACTTCACGTGTGAAAGGAGCTTAACAATCCTTTTCAAATCTCACTCTTCAATTCAGAATTCAGTGTGCACATATCATCTAGCCCAGTGGATACCCAGTCTGTCTGCATTTCCAAACCTCCTGGGGAACACTCTAGGTATCCGGGTCAAGGCCAAGGAGCCAGTGTCTTAATCACACTTCCCAGGTGACTATAATGAGCGCTCCGTCCTGAGTACCACTCACACAGCCAACCACATTTGAATTCTTTCCAAAGAGTTGTACTCAGGGCCAGCACTGTGGCTCAGTAGGTTAATCCTCTGCCTGCAGTGCTGGCATCCCATATGGGCGCCAGTTCAAGTCCTGGCTGCTCCCCTTCCAATCCAGCTCCCTGCTACGGCCTGGGAAAGCAGTAGAAGATGATCTGAGCGCTTGGGCCCCTGCACCCATGTGGGAAACCCAGAAGAAGCTCCTGGCTCCTGGCTTTGAATTGGCTCAGCTCTGGCTGTTGTGGCCATTTGGGGAGTGAACCAGCAAATGGAAGACCTTTCTGTGTCTCCCTCCAACTGTCTGTAAATCTACCTCTCAAATAAATAACAATAAAGTCTTTTTTAAAAATCATATATAAAAAAGTTATGCTTGTCTGTTTACTAGTGGAGGCTCAAAACAGCTTCACTTGTTCTAAGAACCTTTTGCAGGCCACACTAAATTGTGGTCAGCATTTCTGCCACTGCTTTCCGTAAGCACTCTAATTTTTTTTTAAGATACAGTCAAATCAGCAATTCTATTTAAGATGAAAACTGAGCAATTGTTGCTTGGATAAAAAGGAGCCTGTGTGGGACAGGCTTGAGAGACCTGTTTCCCGGCTCCTCTCTTTCTGCATTTTTCTATTCCTTTTTAGCTCCAAAGCCGTACAGCAAAGCAAGGGCAGCCATGGGAAAGACAGGCTGAGCCCGACGTGGTCCAGTGGAAATCTGTGGGCTGCTCGTCTAAACAGAGGCGCATCTGTTGATGAGACGCCAGCAGCCTGCAACTCTGTCCTGTTCGTGAAGGATCCTAGTAGTCCCGGCACTGAGCCCCAGTCGCCAGCCCCTCAAGAAGACACAGTGCAGGCCCCATGCCGCCAGAACCGTAGGGCTCGCACGGGGGTCTTACCAGAGCGCTGCCGTCGGTCCAGCGGAAGTCGTGCTCAAACACCTTGTCATTGAGGCCGATCCACTGGTAATCGTGGCCCAGACCTGACGGGAAACCACACGACAAGGATGGTGAGCTCCGGGCACACACAATCGCTCTCAGGTGAGTCACGCACACACTTCTCCTCCTAGAAGTTTATGTAGTCGCTCATAAAAACTCCCTCCTAATCGAAGTGTCTTCTGTTCCTCTCAAGGTGCTTTAAACTAAAAAGCTAATTTGCAGGAGCGGGCGTTTAGCCTAACGGTTCCGATGCCCACGTGCCACATCAGAGTGCCGGGGCTCCGTACCCTGCTCTGGCTCCTGGTTCCAGCTTCCTGTTAACGCGCCTGGGGGATGGCTCACGTGCTCCAGTCTCCGCCAACCACGTGGGGGAACTGGATTGTGTTCCTAGCTCCTGCCTGCAGCCTGGCCCAGTCCAACCTGTTGTAGGCATTTGGGGAGTGAACCACAGACAGGAGTTCTCTCTGTCTGTTGTCTCTCTCTCTCTCTCTCTCTCTCAAATAAATACATTCTTTTAAAAGAATAAAAAGCTAATTTGCAAAGACCATGAGACATTAAAGTATCAGAGACAATAAACTCCCTGGTAGTTTACTCTAGATACTCATCTCCAAGCTTACTCATGATAGGAATTTTCCATTTACATCTTTTATTACGCTATTCCATTAGCAAAAATTTTGGTGATTCAATAAAATGTGCCATATCTTACCAGGCTACCCTCTGTTGGGAAGCCACATGTTCTTCAAGCAATTTAAATAGTAAACACTTAAACAAGAGAGTTCTGAAAAATTATCCTCACCATGGCATGAGTCACTGGCAAAGACACCATGCAATAGAGCTAAATGGCCTGGGTCCAGATTGCAAGTTAACAATCTAACTTCTCCAAGATAACAGGCAGCAGAGGAATATATTTAACAGAGAATCAACAATGCTTCTGAAGCAAAAGATTTCCACACACCAGGAGTCTCCAAAATTTAACAGAAAATGTGTATTATGAAAAACCTATACAGTACACATTTTTGCAGCAAAATAAATTAATTTTTTAAATTAATTTTTTTTAATCAGAGAGACAGAGACACACCTCCAATCTGCTGGGTTGTTCCCCAGAAGCCTGCAACACTGGGGCTGGGCCAGGGCCAAACCCAGGAACTGGGAATTCAATTCAGGTCTCCCGCATGGTGGTAGAGACCCAAGTGCTTCAGGCATCACCTGCTGCCTCCCGGGGTGCACACCAGGAGGAAGCTGGATCAGAAGTGGAGGATCCAGGACTCGAACCCCAGCAACAGAGAACAGGAGGCAGGCATCTCAATCGGAATGCCAAATGCCTCCCCCTGCAACAACACTAATTTATCTTTTAACTCAACTTTCCCATAAGCTTCTGGAAGCACCTTCATATTTGTTACATTTGTCCTGGCTATAGTTTGGGGAGCTATTACTCAGCTCTGGTATCAAGTTTCATTAGCTTTCAATCTCCACCATTTCCTGTTCTTAATGCGGCCCTCACTCTCTATGGTCTAAAATAATTAGAAACCTGGATGAGAACCAATATAACCAGAGGATAAGATTAGGATGCTGCAAATTCGGTTTTAATTAGCAGGCTAAAAATAACTGAAAGCAACTTCAGTATTAGACAATGCATGCAAATACTCAAAATGGAGACCTTGGAGGCAGTCATGGCCAAGATTATGCCAAACCATGAGAACGGCTACTTTTAGAAGTCAAAAAACTGAAAGCAATTTCTTATAGTCCAACTTAGACCGTGCTGTTACACCTACAGCTGCCGGCAGCCAAGGCTATGCTCAGCCTTCTCCTCCCACTGGAGCACTTAGCCAGACGATTTGAGGAGCTCCCGGGAGAAGGAGCTAATCAACCGAATCCCACCGTGGCTGCTTCTCGGGGCCCTCGCCTATCCGGTACGTACGATTCACAAACATCTGTTCCTCGTGAGACAGGATGCTGGTGAGATGGGCGCCCTGCAGACGGCACTCCCGCTCAGCCGCGTCCCACGTGCGCCGGTGGGCAAAGTATTTGTAGCACTGCCCTTGGAACTTGTGCCAGCCGTAGTCACAGGTCTCAGTGTCTGGGGAGAAACGAGGTAGAGGCTGACTACACTCACCTGCGTCAGTCAACCTGGTCCCTCCCCCACAACCACATGTTGATAGGATTTCTGCAGCAACGTCCATGCAATGCCCCCCCCCACCACCACCACCACCAGGAACTGATGCACACAATTAGGGCCACAGTGGAATGCTTTGTCAGGCTAGTGGTTCCTGCGAGGTGGGTGGCTGCACATCTTGGACTGAAAAGCCAGTGTCTAAGAGCCACTTCCCTGATTCAAGCCAGTTTCCACAGGAGGGGAAGCTGGAAGAGGGGCCAGCCAGAGCTGCCTTAGGACGCGGAGGGGGCGAATTCCTTAGGGAGCCACGTTCTCACAGAATCACTCAAGTGACAAGATAAGAATTCGTCCTAATAGGATTAGGAACGCTCTATTTGCATAACAACTCCAAAACCTCTGGAAGTAGTCCTTTCCTCCTACCCTGACAGACAGCGGGGGTCACTGCTGCTGTCCTGTAAGACTTACAGAGCAATCAATGCCCGGGTGCAGCTGGAACTGTGCCCGTTCTGTTCTTCCCCACAAGGAAGGGAACAGATTTCAAGGTGAAGAAAAATGAAATAACCTGCGTTCTTTGGCTTAATAAATCCCTGTTCCACCAAGCCGTGTACGTGTGCGTGAGTGTGGGTACGTGTTTTCTCTTGTACAACAAGCACACCAGAACTGGTGCCCCCTGGGATGGAAACATGGTTCCCAGACATCTAAATTGCACACTGGCAGTGAGCTTCAGGGGCACTTCCTTACCTGCCACTAGTAACAGCTTTGCTTACAGCACTGTACTCCCCTCTGGCCTGCCCTCAGCCACACCTACCTGAAGGCCGTAGATATCTCCAGCAGTATCAATGGCAATACTTTTGACTTTCACCAACTATATCTCAAAAACATACCAACACACTTAGAGGTAGAAACTAATAAGACTGCAAAGTTTATAGAACCTCAGGAATCAAGGAAAACCTTCCAGATGACCTAATCAGCATCCTCTCCCCTAATCTTACTGATGGATAAGGAAAACAACACCCTACCACGTTGGAATGAACGCTTGGTAGACTCGGTGGCCAAATGCAAACTGCACTTGGCTCCTGTCTCAGCGCACCTTTTCCTGCAACTGTGGGGAGGTGTGTATTCTGAGAGGTCTGATCCTTCTCCCCTGGCTGCAGTGACTCCGACCATACTGACACACAGCCGCACCTTCTCCCCGAGAGCAGGCTCGCTTGCAGTTTAGTCTATCAGGCGTGTTGTTTAGTTACAGCGCTGAGTAACTGTTTTGGACAACGTGCCCTGGAAGTTCTGAGCTGTGTGGAAGTGTTGTTGGGAGGCCACCAAGTCTCCTAGGAAGAGAGTCAGGACACAGCTAGATGGTTTGGTGTCAAAGCAGCACGCAGTGCCCAGAAAGGAAGCAAAGTCGGAGCGCCTGGATGCATGCGTTTCCCTCCGGGGAGTTCACTTGTAAGAATCCAGCCGGGAATTGGGTGGCATGGGGAGGAGACCTGGCCACAAAGGAGGGGCTTAGTGTCTAGGAGAGGAGGCTTAGAGACATCTTTACAGCACTTCCTGCTAAGGTCAATGAAAGGAAAGGCCACCACAAAACACACCAGACATCAGAGAAAGGGAAAAGGTTCATTGTCGGGGTTCCCCCACCGACAGGCTGCCTACCCGTGCACACAGAGAACAACAGCCTACTCTGGGAAAACAGGTTGTCTATAGCTCTGCAGAGGTAAGGAAGTGGGAGTAGCAAATCCCACTAGGGTGGGGGTGGAGCTGATGCTTGTGAATGGGCCATTTGGTCACGTGACTTCCAGTAAGCCAGGCTGGGCTTTGAATGAAGCTTACTGTACAAGATGGTGACAGGACCAGAGCCTAAGATGGCGCCATAGCTAAGACCATATTATTTTACTAACAGTCAATAATTTCATGCTGTCATAGCATACAGTATGTTCATATACACCTTTATCTAAAATATCTAAAAATCTAAGTCTAAACCTATATCTAAAATATCTATATCTAGGGCTGGTGCTGTGGTGCAGCAGGTTAAGCCATCGCCTGCAGCGCCAGCTTCCCATATGGGGCTGGTTCAAGTCCCAGCTGCTCCACTTCCAATCCAGCCCCTTGCTAATATGTCTGGGAAGGCAGCAAAAGGTGGCCCAAGTCCCTGGGCCCCTGTCACTCACGTGGGAAACCCAGAAGAAGTTCCTGGATCCTGGCTTCAGCCTGGACCAGTCCTGGCTGTTGTGGCCATTTGGGGAGTGAACCAGTAAATGGAAAATCTCTCTCTGACTTTCCTTCTCTCTCACTAACTCTGCCTCTCAAATAAATTAATTAAAAAATAAAATATCTCTATCTATAGATTACATATATGTAAGCTATAGCTAAAATCTCAATCTACATCTGAAAATACTGTGAAACTTATTTCATCTGACACAGAGCCATCTGTGTTAAAACCCCAATCAGATGAGATAGGCACGCTCTAATCATGCACGGGTAACTATGCAAACTCCCAGGTGCGTAGCGTGTGCTGCTCCTGTGCGGGGCCGCACAGGCTGAAACCTTTCTCTCATGCAGTTTCACTACGACTCTGCCTTTATGCCATACAGGTAATGTTATCAGTGCCTCTGCTGCAAACTGAAGAAATCGTCAACACCTCCACCCTCCTGCTTGGCAAGCTGTGCCCTGGACTCTGCCTGGGGCCATCCGTGGGCAGCACTGTCTCCCAACATCCCAAGGATCCTGGGTCTCGGGGCTGCTGTCATGCGCCCCTGTTCCAGTTACTGAGACTTGGAAGTTGCTAACACAGACCAAAGGTCAGCTAAAGAAACAATGACACAGTCATCACTGAACTTTGGCTAGAAAACTGTTTAGACAACATGGCTGTTAATGCAGAAAACATTTGTTCTTAGGCAACCTGAAAGGAGGAGGAAAAAAAAAAAAACCCTTCCATTATCCTGGCAATAAATCACAGGCGCACAGCTGCGTTGGGTAAACAGCCTTGAAGGGACGCTTCTCTGTGCATGGAGCGGATGATGGCTGCGTTTGTTCTGAAGATGAATAGAAGGCGCCGGAAAGTGAGGTGGCACCAGAAATGAAAGGGACACACGAAGGCCTTTTCTCTCGAGTCTTCTATTTAAAAGAGTGGGAAAAGGCACCTGGCCCCAAAGTCCCTCCCAAGATCCTCTTCCTTGTCATCCATCAGACACACACGAAAATACAAAGTTGATCTTTGAGAGTCACTTTCGAGGTGTGGAGACAGTGAGAAAAGCCTGGGCTTTAGCCATAAGCTACTTAGGCCCACTTATCCTATTCTGGAATGTACTGTGACACCTTGAACACACCACTTTTCCTCCTGAGCCTCAATGGGTAGTACCGCCAATGCACAAAAATGCTGTACAGCCAAGAGAAGTCAAGTACATGGAAGCCTTTGATAACCCATGAATCCCAAACATCTCCTTTGATTTTCTGTCCCCATTAAGTCTTCTGATCGAGGACTTGCTTCTGTTCACAGATCTCTCTCCTGTGCCCACGACACCACGACAGTGCCTGGAAGACAGTAGGTACTCCACAAATACCTGATGAACAACTCATTTTTTGAATGGTTTCTAGGTCTTGGAACTAAGAGAAGCTGGACTCATTGTGACATATTTCAATGCCTCACGCTTTTTGCACTCTTCAACAAATGACAACTCACTTCTTTAATTTAAGAAGCTCTGGCTTGGTCTCTTTCCATATTTAAAATTCTAACCCAAACAGACTCACCCTGTGCAATTAAAAAAGAAAGATACGGAAAACCTTAGCCATCACCCATTCTCTTGGAACAGGAGCTCAGTGCATGCCACTGTTGGCTTTGCTTTAATTTTAGCGACATCCGGATTAACACCACAAAGCTGAGTGTGGGGCCAGACCAACGTGTCTGAGTGTCTAATCCATTTCCATTTTGTCTGGTGGAATGGAAGCTTGGCACAGAACACTTTTCTCAAAGCCAAACCACTGGATGACTTGCAGTAGAGGAAATTGACATTCCAAAGCGGAGTGTGCTGAGCACGCAAACTGTTCCTCCTGGTGGACTAAGAAATGTTACCCTGAGCCACGTAAAATATGCTCTTAGGGTGGCCATCAAATGCAAATTACAGCAGTGCTGAGAATCTGGGCCCTTCTTCCATTCAGAAAAAGGAGATGCCTCTTAGGCAGGAAGATTTCCTGGTGCCCAGATCATCATGTTTTTATGTAGTATTGCCAGGCCAAGGCTAGTATTGCATTCAGACCCATCTATCAGCTAATCCGCAGGTATGTTTGATGATGAAAAATAATCCCATTGAGTCTCAAGTGCTTAGGGCAGAAACTAAAGGCAACTGACATGGAATTCAATAGTTCTGTGTACGCCAGCCCTGGTGACGTCGATACCTCCGTGTTCACAGGAAGGCGGCACACAGCAGCACCCGTCTGGTCAGCTGGATGTCCTTTACCCCTTTACTCCCGCTCAGTGTGCCTGCCTGTGATGCTAAGCCACCAGCAGTGAGGCCACACTCCACTGCAGACCATTTCTCACTAATGTATTCATGCACTTGGCTGGCTTCCTGTGCAGGACAGAATATGCAGCACGGCCACAGTGGCCGAAAACAATCCATAATGTTCATTATGCGAGTATTGCAGCAGCTCTTACCTTGTTCGCAAAGTACCCCGACGTAGCTTGGGAGACAGAGGCATCTGAATGTATTAAAACCATCCACGCACGTGGCTCCGTTCCGACAGGGGTTAGAGTGACACTCATCAAAATCTGAAATGAAATGGTAAGAGTGCCCAAAAAAAAGCTTTAAAAAAGATTCAAATAACTATTATAGTATTAATACTATTATTATCAAATAATAGTATTAGTGTGACGTTGCAAGGTAAGAGGACAACCAGGTAAATTTGAATATTGGATTCTTTTTAAAAGATTCATATTAAAACACCTTCTAAGAGGACATTCCTTAAGTGTCGTATTCTTTGGAAAGATTCTTCTAAAGAGTGTATGTAACTTTTAGTGTCAGGGTGCCCTCTGCAATATTCAGGATTAATTTACACTAAAGTATTAAGTATCATTCCTTTTTTATCTGATACTCATATTTAACTGGCCACCTTAAATTTTTATTTGCAGAATCTTGGTGACTTCCTCACTCCAAGGCAGATCAGATCTGCTGAGCAGAGTCACTGTCTCCAATGCTATTGGATGAGACACAGGAGCCCTCAATCTGCTTTACAGAATCCCGGTCTCCCAGCTCTGGCCCTGGGTCCAGTGTGCTCCACTAGCTCGCGTGAGGAATGCCCCGAACACAGGCCCGGCCTCCCTGCTTCAGGGCCCTTCCTCCCCAGCTCGTCTTCCCGTCTGCTGTCACAGGGCTTCTGCACTACTGCTTCTGAACACTCCATAGTTCCCAACTGCCCAGGGCCTGGGCCTCAACGTATGGTGCCTGAGATTGTGAGCAATGCATGAAGTCCTCTGGGGTGGGGGCACAAAGCTGCATTGTACCAGGCCGCCCAGCTGATTCTATCGCATCCTCTCTTACCAGAGTACAAGGTGCACTCCTGGCTTCAGTGTCAGGGCTTCCTAGCTCACCTGCTGCCCAGTGTGCTCTCCCACACACCCCTACATAGGCCTCAAGTGCACTCCCCACTGCGCGGCCTCTGCTTCTGCCACCTGTTCCCCTCCTCAGCTCTAAGATCTACATCCGAAACATTCTTTCTGCAGAGCTCCTGGGCGGTCCCCGAGGAAATCAGTGAACAGATTCCCATCGCGGGTTGAATCGCAGTGAAAGATTACTGTTCACGTTACAGGAGAATGATATTGAAGACATGAGTATACGAAGCAGACTCCAATTCCGAGAGCTGGATATATGATCACAGAAATGAGAACACACACTTCCATGGCATTTGCTAAGTGGCAGCCGCTGTTCTAGTAACTCATTGAATTATTTCAGTTGATTTTCACATATAACAGAGAGTCAGGTGCTTTGACAGATGAAAATGTGATATTTAAGATGCAATTCATGGTATTCACTGCAGGCCTTAACCCTCACTAACCGGCTCACTAGATCCCGCGGCCTTTTTCCTAGTTTTATAAAAGTACTCTTTCATGGGGATCGCCAGGATTTCAGCTGGCGTTTCTGTGTAATCTCAGGAGCTTTGGGTGGGTTTTCTTTGCCCAGTCCCCTTAGGCACACCTCCACACAATCTCGCCAAGGTCACTCTTTTCTCGGAGGTGAGGTCTATATTTAGCCCAACCAAAACTGGGCTCTTTTTTAATTTTCAAAGAGCAGGAAAGCTTACCAAGGACACAGAAGTAAAAGGAAGTGATTTACTATAGCCTGGTTATGTCCTTTGGACCCCGAGGACAGGAGGGGGCAGCAGCCCCGTAGATTCCTGGTGTGGACACTGCCCAGGCTGGCTGCGGAGAGGACCAGAGCAGGAGCCTTCCCAGGCCACAGCAGGCGAGTAGGTTATCCCCAAACACAGGAGCTAAGCTTCCCACACTTTATTCATTTGTCAGGGTTTTTTTTCCTCCTCCTATAGATCTCTTAAAAAATAATATCCTTAAATTGATTACTGACACAGATTTCAAGGGCCCATCAGCATGGGTTGCTAATATTTATGCATCTTTACACTTGCAAAGCCTACCTGCAAAATCCACAAAAAGACACAGCTGACCTCAGTCCTCCACACCGAGGCCCAGACACAAGACCAGAATGCCGTCCGTGTACCTCGGCACCCACATCCCACAGCCTTGCCCATTCCTCCTAGACCTCGCTTCATCCGGCACACAATCTATGTACACACAGGTTTCTCAGAAATCTTTGATGGATTTGACAACAGGAATTCTCTCCCAGTATATCACCAGGAAAAGAACCACACACACACACACACACACACCCTCCCCCCAGCCTAGAGCGTCTCATCTCACCGAGTTCACACTGGTCTCCGCTGTATCCCGGCACACAGGTGCACACGTAGGAAGTTTCGGTCGGGTAGCAGGTGCCCCCATGGAGGCACGGGTTTGTCTTGCACCGATCCGTTCCTACCACATCAGGAAAGCAAGGAGAGCAATTAGGCTCATCTCTCAAGTTCTCGTAGACCTCAGCAAACAACGCCACATTTTGCTATCATAATACAAGCTTCACCACGCAATTTCCAGATGCTACAACTAAAAATTAACTTTACTCTCTGGAGTGTTTCTTGGTATTATAACTACTTGTTATCAATTGCATCTACTCATTTCTGGGATTCAATCATTATTATTTTAAATAATACTTATACATGGTATCTGGCAACTAATAGATTCTACCGCAGATTTAGTTGGCATGATAATGGCAATTGATTTTAGTCAAAAATGATTACACGTATGTGCACAGTGAATGGAAAATGTATTCTTTTAAACGAGGTTAGTTCATGTGAAATGGCTGGATACACAGAACATGCATTCTTTTTAGAAGACTGGCTTGTTACCACCGTTTGAATTATATTGCCTTTTACCACTTAATGCTTCCAAAGTGTGCTCTGAAGTCTCTTCTGCTACATTAACATGCCTTTTCCAAAACCACGCTCCACATGTACTCCTTTAAACCATACTTGAAGAAAAGCAACACACGGATTAAACGCTACCGTACAAAAACAAACCCAAACACAAACACCTCACCTAAAGCGAAATCCCCACTTTCTATTACAATTTTCTTTTTAAAATACACGTAAAACCGACACTCCTCAGAGATCAGTGTGAAGGCAAAAGACATAAATTCATGAAGACAGCAGTTTAAAAAAATACGTTCTCTAAAGGCAAATACGTTAACACCATTTGAAGAGTGTATTTTATCGTACTATGGCTTGAATAAATATATCTTACTGAGTTTATCAAATCCTTCCAAATATTTGTTCTTGGAGAATTTTTTCAGAATCGCTTAGGTCTAAGGATACAAATGAGACTAGGAAGTTTTACCAAAAAATGAAATAAAATAGATCCTACAGGGAGTATTTAGTGCTGCAACCCTGAAATAATTACACTTGAAAAGAAAGCACCTAACCTCTTGAGAACAGGAACTTCAAGGACATCAGGATAAGCAAGGGGCTGCTATAGAAGACAACTGTGCTAAGTCAGGCTTGGACCATCTGTGTGTTAAGTAAACCCCTTGTGACTACAAAGACTTGACAGATACACGTTCCCAGGTTGGGATTCACATTAAAATTAGGTTGATCCAGATGATTATACCAACTTCTCCAAAAGCCAACCCAATTTTTCTGTGGCACTTTCTCCCTCAGTTGCAAAAATATTTAAGATCTCCCTGGTCAGTTACGCTTTTTTGCATTTGAACGTACACTGCCTAGACGTCAAGGCCACGGTCAGTATCATGTCCACCTGCTGCCCCCTCTGCAGAACCAGATCCCAGGAACGTGCTTTGTTGGGAAGACTCTGATGCACCACACAAGCACAGAGTCTTGTTCTCATTCCTACTCTGGACAGCAGACACCAGGCTGAGACTAAGATAAGGGCTTGGTGAGAAACTGAGTGTCTCTGAGAACTTGAGGTGGTTCCAATCAGGAAAAAAGTTTTGTTTTTATTAATTTGACTCTTTCCTAAACAGTTTGTATTAACCTTGGAAAGCTGAATCTGCAACAGATAGGCCAGGCATTCCCACATGAGCGGCTGTTTACTGAGTCAGGCTAATGCGACAATTTGTTTTGCAAGGAAGACCCAAACTCTAATTCCTGGTAAACACTGTGCACAGGATAACTGGTACACTCGTTTGTCAAACTTAACTCTCTCTGCACATGTGCAGTTATTTCTACATTATATTTTCAACAACTGGAGTTATGTTTCAGTGAAATTACAAAACAATATGTATTGGCCACATTATCAGGTTATCGGTTACACATTAAATACAGAGTGACAGGAAAAAAAATTCAATGTCCACCACCTTTAATCAATTTTATTCACAAAACACTTCAAGCCATTTATAACAAGTTACACCTCCTATTTTACTTTCTGAACTACATCAAAAAGAAGCATTAGTGGCATAAAAGATAATATTGATATGACTGGAAGAAAAATTCTTAACAGTAGCCATGACACAAAACATCCATCATAGTACAACATACATTTGCAACCCACACAGGCTGTAAAGTCCCGGATTTTCTTCTTTTTCCAGGTAGCTTCTGGGTGGTGATGGTGTTTGTGGATTCCACTGACATTGTTACTTAAATAACAACATGCTGGGAGAAGCCATTCAATCTGGATTCTCAGCAGTCTCAGGCTAGCCCAAGCGGGAAATAGATTCTACAGGATATTACATATTCCCAGATTTCTGGTGTACAATCATTGAATATCAATGGCTCATTTGTATGCTATGTTGGAAACTAGCAATGAGCAGGAAAAAGACCACGCACTTCAGAATGGGCCTCATCTGGGCTCAATTCCTGCTTTGCTGTCATGTGGCTGTGCAACCGTGGGAAAGCTGCTGAAGTCTCTAATCCACCCTTTGGCAAAGGACTACAATAAGTGCTCTCCAGCCTTTCTGTGAAGATCAAGGCCAACGGTCTCTATGAAGCACCATCAACTGCTCTCCGCAGGCAGAACACAAATCTATACCATGTGAACAGCCACTCTGCTTGGGTACTATGTAGGAAGCATTACTCGCACCATCTCAAGCCAAAACATTATAAGAAGGTGTGAAATGACTGTTGGCCTTGCACGAACTGGGCGAGTTACTGGAGCTGTCACTGTCGCACGTGAAAGGCCCCATGGATTTTTGATATCACCACAACAGCACCCACTGATGGGAGAGTTTTAAAAAAGGACTGCTTGCCCCGTTCTTAAAACTAAAAGGATAACTCTGGGACACAGGGCAAAGCAGCGCCACAGTTGTATAATCGCATCAAATTTTTAGGCCATTGATAATTTTTTTTTTTTTTTTCCATGTTGCCACTGGGTGTTGTTTCTAAACCCAGAAAAACACAAAATATATCCGCAAAGCCCGGCAGCTGTCTGTACTTACTTTATTCTCATCTCGTTATGGCCCCAGCACTGTGACCTGACCTGCAGTGCGTGAACAATGTTAAAGTCTCCGTCGGTTTGACATCACAGTAAAAACCAGACACATACACAGGTGACGACCAAGGGACTGCTTCCGGGTCTGGAAACAGCCTTATCGATGCTGTGATCTTACCTGGTAAATAGACCGCTGTGCCTTCCACTGACTCTTCATGAATGCCAATCAGGAAATCAGTTTCGTTAGAAGTTTCCAGAAGAGGAAATGGAGGCGTCGCGAGCTCATCTGTGTTTCCTGCCGCGGGGCTTCCTGCTGCTTGGGTATTGGCATGAGGGGTTCCTGCCGGTGGGTGTTGTTCTGATGCTGATGTGGCGCCCTCTCTTGAGTCGGAAGCCTGTGTATCCCGTGGAGGAGGAACCGTGGAGCCCTCAGAAGTGTGTGGGCTGGGCTGAGGCACCACGTGGGCCTCCACCCCATAATTCACAGATGCAGACGTAGGATGGGGCCCCTGGGCAGCACCTTCCGACCTGAGTTCACTGGCAGCCGGAGTGACGGTCCCAGCCTCAGGGACTGTAGCGCTGGGCATCACCGTCACCGCGTCTCCAGGAAGCCAACTGCTGGTTTTATCTGGGGGGGTCTGGGGGGGCTCAGCTGCTTCCTCAGCAGTTAGCTCTGTGGGAGAAGCATCCAGCTCCTCCAGTAACTGGGGGTGACTTTGTTCTACGGAGAATTCTAATTCTGGGCCAGGAGACCCGGACGGAGGCTCCGTTATGACAAAGTATGCTTCACTGGACGGTTTGAAAGTCACTTCAATACCTTCATGGACTTCCTTGAAAGCATCCGCTGGGGACACGGGCAGGGAGCTGACATCCAGGCCTGGAAGCACACTTGGCAGGAGGATGTCTGTGTGTTCAGAGGCGCCACTGCCTGAGTAGACAGGGAATGGGGATGAGGGTGCTTGAGGGGTCGACCCTGCAAATGCTGACGCTGCTGGTGCGCCATCGGTATGCTGTGGGGGCGCGGTTCCTTCGGCCACACCGGGTGCCTCTGTTAAACTCTGTGGGGGCTTGGTTCCTTCGGCCACACCGGGTGCCTCTGTTAAACTCGGTGGGGTCTCGGTTCCTTCGGCCACACCGGGTGCCTCTGTTAAACTCTGTGGGGGTGCGGTTCCTTCGGCCACACTGGGTGCCTCTGTTAAACTCTGAGCCAGGGGGTGGCTTGTACCAATACTTACATAGGGAGTGGGGTCCATCCATGCCTCGTCGGCTCCAGAAGAGAATTCTGGCTGAAAAGAAGGCCCGATGTGTTTCTTTTCTTCGTAGTCCTCCTGTGTCCTTTGGTCCAGAGGGGCGATCATCTCGCTTTGGTCCGCAACAGCCTGCCCATCGGACAGGGTGCTGGACTCTAAGGTGTCATCCAGGGCTGTGGCTTCGGCGGTTGGCTCTCCCCTCTGCGGATGCGCTGTGGCAGACCCCCCGGGGAAGGGCAGAGACGCCACCGTGGGAAGCAAAGTCTCCAATTCTGTTTCTGTGCTGGGGCCCGGGATCGCAGTCATGAGGGCAGAGCCCCTGTGATCCAACTGGCTTCCGTCGTGGGGAGCCCTGGGTGGACTGCGCGTGGCCTGAGCGAGGACAGCCAGGAGAGTGTCGCCAGAGCCCTCGGATGTCTCCCCGGCGAGCGACAGGTTTAGAGCTGCCTCGGGCTTCCCCTGAACGGTAGGGTTTTCTTCACTGCTGCCCTGCAGCCCCGAGGGGGCCTCTGCTTCCGTGTCTGTCTGCATCCCAAGGATGTCTTCGTAGACAGGCTTGGTGTGATCAATATCGATGATGGTGTTTTTATCCGACGTCAGCTCAGGCAGCATTTCAAGGATAGAACTCTCTGTGATCGTCACGATTAAATCCTTGTCCTCTTTGTCCATGAAGATGTTATCGATGAAAATGTTTGCCGTGCTTTTTCTTTGGTTAGGCTTCACGGTGGACTCCTTGAACCCCCGGAAATGGCCTTGGACAGCAGCGGCGGCCCCTTCAGTGGACCTCCCATACAACGCTGGACTTGGCCGTGTGCTCGTGGCCTCCGGGGCACCTCCGCTGTGCTCTGAGCGAGGCAGCATCTCCGACACCACTGGGACTCCAGCAGGGATGGCTTCAGTGGTTGGCACTTGGGGTGGCGTCCCTAGGGACGCATCAGAAGCAAACGTGGGGCTTCCTTGCCTGGGTCCCTGCGTAGTTCCAGAAGTGTAGGCGACATCGAGAACATCCAGTCCTCCAGAGCCCTCTCCAGAGTGCTCATAAAACAAATGAGATGGTTTTGGCGCTGATGTCACAGATTCTAGGGACGTTTCAAGACCAGGCGTTTGGGCGAGGAAAATGGTGGACGAGGCTGCGGCTTTTTGAGCTTCTGCTGTCGCGGAGACCTGGTCGGTTACAGTTTGCGGTCCCCTGGCCTGGATTTCCTCTGCCCATCCGGAAGTTTGGCCCTGAGGGTGGTCAATGTCCGTGGAGAAAGGGAGTGGAGCCGTGGTGGGTCTTTCTGCTCCAGGGCCACTGAGAATTTCTACGAAGTCCGTGCGGGGTGCTGCCTCCCTACCCCCAGGGATGTCTGTTTCAGACATGAGTGGTCCAACTTCATTTGCCACATTCTCCAACCTCTCATGGTCTTCCATTTTATCACTTGGGGCACTTGTTTCTGAACTTTCCACGTGAGAAGTCTGGGGATATAAAGTGCTTATGATTTGTTCCATTTCTGTAAAATTCACCGACACGGTAGGGAGAGCAGGCCACATGTCTTCCCCTGACCCCAGTCCCGAGAACAAGAGGTCAGCATCTGACTCCCCGACTGTTGGCCTCGGGTCTTTCGGGAATGGCGTCACAGTTTCTTCCCCTTTGATTGACAACTCTGTGATGACTGGTGTCGATTCAGTCACTGAGGCAGAAGCTGCGAAGAGATGTGGTTTTTCAGTAGCTACTGGGTGAGCGGTGACTGATCCCGAGTACCCTGCCCCTGGCTCTGGCGTCGATGTGTTAACTAAGGGAACACCTTTCTCCACCACTTCCTTGTCTATGCCTTCAGCTTGCTCTGTTGTTGCTACAGAATACGTCGTGGTTTGGAGTTCAATGTCAGTAAATGTTTGTGAATCAAAATCTGTTGGTTGTGGTGCAGGAGAGCTTTGGGAGAATTCCAAAGACGTCTGTCCTTGGGTCTTCTCCTCTGATGCCATTTCACCGTCAACGCCTGGTCTTGCAGAACTAACCTCCTGCCCGGACCACAGTCTGGCTGGCTCCACCGTTTGGGGAGAGTCCGTGGGAAATGTGCCGCTGACCATGTTCACAGTGCGCTGTGCTGCTGTGGGGGCTACAGTACCTTCAGCTGTAGCTAAAACGGTGGTCCTCTCATTGACTCCTCCAGCAGCACCCACTCCTCCCAGGGCTCGGTCAACCAATGGGGAAGCTGTATGGGAGAAGCTTCCCACCGCACTGGGAAGCACTGGGTCGGAAGAGCTGCCGGCTGTGACCTGTCGCTCACCCGAACCCTCACCTGAGGCCAGGAACTCTTCCCAAGGGAGGGCTGAAGGGCTCATGACGGAGCTACTGGGTCTTGCTGAGTCAGGTGTGTGACTGACAGGAGCTGATGAAGGCACTATAGACGGGAAAGTCAGAGTATCGCCAAACACCGCGTCCCCCGAGCCTTCAGCCACCAGCACTTCTTGGGTGAGGGCATGAGATACTGTTGCATACTCTCCCAAGTCCCCACTGAACTCCTCCAGAGGAACACCTGTGGCAAAGCCCCGTATCTCCGCCCTGGGACTTGGCCTTCCTGAGCCTGCGGAAGCCGGCTTCTCCTTGGGTGTTGGGCTGATACCATCAGCAACTTCTCCGTGGATTCCAGGGCTCAAAACTCGTGCTGTTGGCTCAGAGGAGAATCCTGTTTCCACGTGGGTAGGCAAAGTGCCAAATGCTTCCTTTTCACTTGGAATTTCAGATTCTACATCTAAGGGCAATGAAGACATGGTGGTGGTTTCGGGGCCGGCGTCTGCATCTCCGGAGCCCTGCTCCATGAAAGGAGACGCAGGGCCTTGCGGGGGAGCGGTGAGCCCTTCCCGGCTGCCACTGCTGTCCTCGGGGACCCGTGCCCCCCCATCTTCCAAAACACGCATCTCGCTCAAGTCAAGGGCAGACCCTGCGGGTGTCGTCCAGGACACGACACTCTCCCTTGCAGCTGAATCGCCAGTGGGGGCTGTCTTGGAGCTTTCTGACTGTGAGGGCAAAACTACCAGCTCTGGCCTCTGCGTGGGTAAATGCACCTCAACTGTGGCACCTGCACGGGTGGCTCCCTCCTCCTCCTCCTCCTCCTCCTCCTCCTCCTCTTCCTCCCTGCTCTTTCCCCCTGCAGCTGTACTGAAAACCCCCTCAGAAGACCCTGCTTCGCTTACTGCCTGGGTGGGGACTATCTCTGCAGCTCTTTCAGAAACCAAATAGACGGTGGTCACAGGCACATCCGCGACACTTTCTGTGAGCATTATCTTGTGAGCCTCTGAAGCACTGAGCGACTCCGTAGCGTTTCTCTGTGGCCAATCAGTTACCGCGGGGAACGTGTGCTCTGGCAGCATGTCTGTGTCTTCCCCGGAGCCTTCTGAGACTGGGGGTGAAGGACTCCCCGACAGTTCCACGCTCTGTCTGGGGGTGGTGTCCACCCAGCTGTCTCTTGTAGACAGTGGGCCATCAGGCCATGGGTTTCCTGTTAGGGTGATGGACGCTTCTGCTGCCGCGGAATCTGGAACCACACTGGGAACGTGCGTGAGAGAAGTGCTTGTCTCTGTGCCTTTGGCAAAGGTTTCCTCGGTAGTCCCCGCCAAGACTATCTTTGGAGATACTTGGTCAATGGCAGCCTCCCCCGAGGATTCTTCCGGAAGCAGAAGTAGAGCTTCCGTAGGCTCGGGTACCAGATTTTCAAGTTCAAAACTGTTCTCCGAGACGGATGCTGCCCCCTCCGTGGTTTCTCCCTCCTGGAACGGGGCCATGGGGAAGACATCAGGTTCACCCCCTGAAAACTGCTCCAGCCCTTCAGGGTACGGCTCAGGCTTCCAGGTGATTTCAAGCGATTCGGTGGCTTCTGCAGAGTCGTTGGGTTGCAGGGCGGTAGATAACTCAATCTCAGCCCCGACGAACGCATGAGGGCTGCGCTCCGAGCTGTCTGAGAAATTCTGAGCAGGCGCCACACTTTCAAACTGGCCACGCCTCGCTTCGGCAGCTTCTGGGCCCTTGGGCTCGGTGGTGACCAGGTGCTTCCCGTTGATGTACTGCACTGAGGGGGTGGTTGTGACGTCCGTGGCGTTGGCACATTCTTCCTCCTGCCCTTCGCTCTCTTCACTATGGTATATATCTATGTTAATTAGGTTAGTTATCTCGGGTAAGATTTCAGCAATCAGATCGTGCTCTGGGTCTGTCTCTTCACTACAAGGCTCATCTTCTTTAGATTCTGTATCTATTGGATGACCAATGGCATCCAAATCAATCATTCGACCTGAAAAAAACAGAGAGTTTTCACAACACTTAAATAGAAGCTTTGGCAGTGCATGACAGAAGAAATCGACAGCAAGGCCGCTCACACTCTCAAACACCAAGGGCTCACTTCTTTTCACCTCCCAGGGCAATCGCCCTCGTACGCACGGTTCTGTCTTCAGACCGGCGGCTGCACATTAACAATAGGCACAGTACACAAACCCCACTCGAAGGTGACACACACAGGCTATGAAAACTCTTCAACGTGTTTATTAACAGAACAACAAAGTTCTCCAAATAAAGCGAGGAATCACATAGCCGTGGCGGTCTTGGCATGGGAGCATTCGTCTTGCATGGCACTGCAGAAATAAAGACCGTTCACCAGATCACAGGTGCAAAGTAATCGATCGCTGTCCCACGTGTGAGAAGAGGCTTAGGCAGCGAGGCAGCTTCGCCTGGAAAAGGACACAAGAACAGATCCCTCCAGGCCTCTTCACCATGCGCCCCAGAGAAAACTGCCTTTAGGAAAGCAAAGGAGAAGTGTATTCGTGTTCTTCCGCGACACCATGGCACGCTCTCCCCGCCGAGCCCTTGAGGCACAGGCTAGACACACACACACCAACCACAGGAGCAGGAGGCCCTGGGTGGGCGGCTGGGGCAGGGCCAGCTACTGAAAGGAGTGGGAGAAGTTTGCAGCACTTCACGCATTGATCCTTTGTGCGATGCAATGTGAACCGGATCCATGCGGATCCTGCCCTGTTCTCATCTAAGTCAGGCGCATCTAAGTATTCCAGCTAGCAAACCTCAGACTCGGCAGACGCTCCCTAGGTTGTAAACTGTCGCTCGTGGCACCAAGGACTACGTCCAGCTGACTGCTGTCACCACAAACAGCCCACCTTGGGCACCAGCATTCTAGCATCCTGCAGCAGGGTCGTGCTGCGATAAGTGGCCTACTTCAGCGGCGAGGCAGTGCGCGAACAGACGCGGAGGCACGGACCCGGGAAGGAGATGACGGATGGCTCAGCCCTGCCATCTTGCCCCCAGGAATGCTTTTCAAGAATCCGTCTTCAAGCCTAGCACAATCCATGCAGGGACGTGTACAGGAGGAGCCGTTACGACAGAGCCCACCCAGATCCACACGCGCCCATCCCGCCTGCAGGGGAGGAAACAGCTACCTTCTCCGCTCTGCACCTGCAGCACGAAGCCGCTCTTTCCAGAGGTGGACATCTAGAACCACGGCCACACCAGCCAAGGGAAACCCATCCGAGCAGGAACAGGCACTGCTTGCATCCTAGCCCACCACGCATCAATCAACACAAGCACGGAAGTGCACGAACCTCCAACATAAACTCAACAGGAGTTCCTTAGAATTTTTAAAAGGCAAAAATTCAAAAACCACAAGACTCTCATGTAATCAGGAGACAAACCCTCGAATTGCACTGATCCCTTTCATGCTAATGAAAACAAAAAGAAAACTCTGCAAGCCACCACATCCTCACTACATGGTCTCAGGGAAAATCATTCATGCAGACTTGGTTACTCTTCCTGGAACTGTGCATCCCTCCCAGGTAACTCTCACCCACTACCCTCACATCTCCTTCCCACCCCACCCCAGACATTCAACTCCTCAATCCTGTAAGCTAAGGCACACAGGCATTGGAATCCATGTGACGCTGCGAAACAAACGCGTAACCCCAACATATTATTGAAAAACATAATTAGGGATAATTTCTGATAAAATCTGTTGCAACTATTCTTAATGGTCAAGTTCAAGATAATGAATAAATGCCTTGCCCTCTGAAAAATTATCGTTCGAAAGAGTAAATGCATTAAAGTTAGGCCACTAAAGTTGTTGCCCGTGTTTTAAGAGAGACAACATAAAATAAATAAAATTAAAAAAAATTAAGGTAGCAATACCTTCTTAATACAGTTTACATTGAATGTCTACTTTGCTTCATGAAACATGAATGTGAAGAAAAAGGCTCAACTTTGTGAGAGGCTACATTTTAAATCACTTTTGTACATATGAATCTCTTGAAAGAGTGTATGAATAATTTTATTTAATCACTAAATCATGAAACCTCTCATTGCTAACACTATCTGAGTAAAGTTGAATTAAGCCAGATTCAGTTCAACTACTCTGTACAATTTCACGGAGTTTGCTTCTCAAAAATGTCCATGTCTTAAACTTCTCACGCTATCACTTTATATGCAACCCATTTATTTTGTTGCATTCAGCCTACATACAACTAGACTTCACTATTGAGGATTACATTCAGATTCATTAAGTGTGTCTCTATGTCTGTTTAATGCCACAGTATCTTCCATAGACAGAAAAAAATTTAAAAAAGAAACAAGGGCCAGAGTCAACTATATAAAGAATCCCTACACATTTTGTTCTTCTTAAATAAATACTGGAGTTAAAACTAGCTACTCATTCAGGATTCTTCAGACATGAGAATAAATAAGGAATTAAATAATTGTGTACAGTTATAAACTCCTAGCCCATGAAGAGGGTAAAAACACTCATTGCTATCATTGATTTATATAGGTTTTAAATAAATTCCTAACTTCAAATTAATCATATGTGCCCATAAGCCATTATCTCCTTAGTGCATATCTATGGATGGAAGTTCTGTCAAATATTATGGTGGTGGCTCTACAAAAGTGCAGAGGAGAGGCGGAGAGAGACAACCCCAACCAAGCCAGCGTGCAGATTCAGCACACAAGTAGACCGACAGATGGCCACGATACTCACTGAAACCTTAGAAAACAAAGAACTCTACTTTCAAGTCGACAATTCATATAATTTAGCTAACTATCAATTCACATTAAGTCTACATAATTCAGTCCATTTTCCATTCAAAGAACTCTAACCCTCCTATTGCTTACAAGTCAACTAAGGTTTCCCTAGCATTCTAGATCATGTCAGAATTTTCACCAAAATGCAGCTGCTGGATGTCATATATTTCATTTTCTAACTAAATATCAGAATGTCTCATTGTACATGCATTTCACAAACAGCACTGTTTCAAACTAGTTTTTTGCACAAAAAATTAAAATCCCTACCACGACCACGTAGCATCTTCCTATGAGCCAACTGCTTGCACAAAACTTAACTGAGTATCCATCATGCTACAGACTCTATGGCAGAAGCTTGTCACTGGAGAGGGTCATGTACACTGTCAAGTCTGCCCCTACTCCAGTCCGAACCAAAGGCTCTCGTCAATCAGAAAACCATCATCAAATCACAGTAAGTTGCAAGTGAACAGCAAATATCTATAAATAATATGTTCACTGCATTTATATTATAAACACTTTTTAAAAAGACTATAATATATATGAGGTTTATAACATGATTTTATGGGATATATATAAATAGTGAGGCAAATTAACATATCTGTTATCTCCCATAGCAACTTGTTTTGTGTACCAAGAGAAGGTGAAATCTATTTATTTAACAAAAATACCTAGTAAAATTTTACTATCATCCTCATGTTACACATAAGATCTCAAAGAAAAAAAATCCACTAAATGGAAATTCTTAAATAAAGCAAAGATTACAAAATGAGCGTTGAAACGATTTGGTTTCCTCTTTAGGAATGCAATATCTCACAAGGAAGCAACCAACAGTCTTGTTTAAAGAAGTCATATCAATTTCCAATGGTGTGACTAGATCTTTTAACATGAGGAGAAGTGTTAATCACCCGGGCTTTGAAGTTAGATGTTTCTTCCAACAGATTCTTTGCATATCGATCTACATTTTATCTGGACCACAGAGCTAGTTAGTTTCCATACTTTGGGGATCCCACAGAGACGCAGCAATGTGGAATCCATCTTTACAGAGAGAGGCGCCTTCCTCCCACACATCACCAGAATTCCTGTCCCGGCTCCCTTGTATCTCACCAAGTCCTACCTGTTCCTCTTTGTTGATTCACCTGCTGAAACTGCCTCTTCATCTCCCTTTTCTGTCACTACCTTGAACCACTACACAGGTTCTGAGAGCATTGCAACAGCTCTAACTATTGCAAGCCAGAAAAGTTCCTTTGTAGGGAGTGGGGGCGGGGGGAAAGACACCTGTACTATTGTAAAAATAAGTATCTCCTTCCAAAATGAGGATCTGCTCTATTTCATAGGAACAGAACAACCTAACAGAGTTATTGACATTCCAAGCTCTCGGATGAACAAGTCCTTATAAAAGACTGCTCTATTTTAGAATTTCACTCTAAGGGTAATATAACTTTTATTTGGATTTCAAGACTGAAAACCACAGAACTCTACGGAGTGTATGTATAATCTTTTCTATGTTTATACGAATGTATTTTAACAGCTTGACTTGAATATACTAGTACCATGGTTAATAGGTTTTTTAATGGCATTTCACACAAAGCTTTATTGCTAGCTGACCTCAAATTATTCACCAAGTATTTTTAAGTACTTCATGGCAGGTTTTGCAGACATAGCACAAGTCCTCCAGTCATACTATTACCAGACACAAAACATAGTTGCTATGATGCATAGGCAGCTGGCTGAAGTTCATGTTCTCTTCAGGGAATTTCACAGTTTAAGTTTAAGAGCTTTTAATTAAATGTAAGTTATACCAATGTGCTCAGCAGAGAGATATTAGATCACATTTTTTTATTAAAGTGGATTTAATTTTAACAGGTAACAAAAAAGATTTTGTTTCCTTATTTCAAAAATACAGTAGACAGCCATACTGAAGCAGTTGAGAAACAGACTTGTAGAGTTTAAAGAGAAGCTTAAAATTCCGTCAGATGTTCAGGCTGTCAGACACAGGGCTCTAGACCAGTAACCAGACAAAAACAAACGTGCCAACGTCCCTCCTCGTTCATTAGAGCAGCACAAGGCCACCAGAGCCTTCAGAAGGGGAGAACACCACCTCCAGCCGCCTTCCACCCAAGGATCTCACACAACCCGAACCTCCAACATTTTCACAATTTGAGACACTCTCAGAATCTGACCACTCAGCAGGTCAAATTTAGAAGATGCCATTAGACCAAG